AGACTTTGTTTAAGAGTTGAGCTTTCTTGTCCATAGATAGAAGGGTAATTGGTGTGTGAGGGTTTTGGTAGTGGGTGGGGTAGGGGTGGGATAGCGAAATTTTAGCATCTAATTTGTTGTGGTATTTAAAATAAATTTTAACTTGGGTGTTTTTTTTATCCAAACGTTCTATAATGAGACTGTTTAAGATTGTTTGAGTGTGGTTTAAAAGTCTATGCTGAAGTCTTTGTTTGAGTTTATGTTTAATTCTGACTGTTTAACTCAAAGCTAATATTCTATGCTTAACTTAAGTCTATAAAAAAAGACATTCACCCACATAGAAAATGTTTAAGGTAAAGATAATTCGTAGAGCGGTTATATCGGGGAGACTGGAGTAGAACGGTTATATCGGGGAGACTGGAGTAGAGCGGTTATATCGGGGAGAATGGAGTAGAGCGGTTATATCGGGGAGACTGGAGTAGAGCGGTTATATCGGGGAGACTGGACTACAGCGGTTATATCGGGGAGACTGGAGTAGAGCGGTTATATCGGGGAGACTGGAGTAGAGCGGTTATATCGGGGAGACTGGAGTAGAGCGGTTATATCGGGGAGACTGGAGTAGAGCGGTTATATCGGGGAGACTGGAGTAGAGCGGTTATATCGGGGAGACTGGAGTACAGCGGTTATATCGGGGAGACTGGACTACAGCGGTTATATCGGGGAGACTGGAGTAGAGCGGTTATATCGGGGAGACTGGACTACAGCGGTTATATCGGGGAGACTGGAGTAGAGCGGTTATATCGGGGAGACTGGAGTACAGCGGTTATATCGGGGAGACTGGAGTACAGCGGTTATATCGGGGAGACTGGAGTAGAGCGGTTATATCGGGGAGACTGGAGTAGAGCGGTTATATCGGGGAGACTGGACTACAGCGGTTATATCGGGGAGACTGGAGTAGAGCGGTTATATCGGGGAGACTGGAGTAGAGCGGTTATATCGGGGAGACTGGAGTAGAGCGGTTATATCGAGGAGACTGGACTACAGCGGTTATATCGGGGAGAATGGAGTACAGCGGTTATATCGGGGAGACTGGAGTAGAGCGGTTATATCGGGGAGACTGGAGTAGAGCGGTTATATCGGGGAGACTGGACTACAGCGGTTATATCGGGGAGACTGGAGTAGAGCGGTTATATCGGGGAGACTGGAGTAGAGCGGTTATATCGGGGAGACTGGAGTAGAGCGGTTATATCGGGGAGACTGGAGTAGAGCGGTTATATCGGGGAGACAGAACTACAGCGGTTATATCGGGGAGACAGGACTACAGCGGTAATATCGGGGAGACAGAACTACAGCGGTTATATCGGGGAGACTGGAGTAGAGCGGTTATATCGGGGAGACAGAACTACAGCGGTTATATCGGGGAGACTGGAGTAGAGCGGTTATATCGGGGAGACTGGAGTAGAGCGGTTATATCGGGGAGACTGGAGTAGAGCGGTTATATCGGGGAGACAGAACTACAGCGGTTATATCGGGGAGACTGGAGTAGAGCGGTTATATCGGGGAGACTGGAGTAGAGCGGTTATATCGGGGAGACTGGAGTAGAGCGGTTATATCGGGGAGACTGGAGTAGAGCGGTTATATCGGGGAGACTGGACTACAGCGGTTATATCGGGGAGACTGGAGTAGAGCGGTTATATCGGGGAGACAGAACTACAGCGGTTATATCGGGGAGACTGGAGTAGAGCGGTTATATCGGGGAGACTGGAGTAGAGCGGTTATATCGGGGAGACTGGAGTAGAGCGGTTATATCGGGGAGACTGGAGTAGAGCGGTTATATCGAGGAGACTGGACTACAGCGGTTATATCGGGGAGAATGGAGTACAGCGGTTATATCGGGGAGACTGGAGTAGAGCGGTTATATCGGGGAGACTGGAGTAGAGCGGTTATATCGGGGAGACTGGACTACAGCGGTTATATCGGGGAGACTGGAGTAGAGCGGTTATATCGGGGAGACTGGAGTAGAGCGGTTATATCGGGGAGACTGGAGTAGAGCGGTTATATCGGGGAGACTGGAGTAGAGCGGTTATATCGGGGAGACAGAACTACAGCGGTTATATCGGGGAGACAGGACTACAGCGGTAATATCGGGGAGACAGAACTACAGCGGTTATATCGGGGAGACTGGAGTAGAGCGGTTATATCGGGGAGACAGAACTACAGCGGTTATATCGGGGAGACTGGAGTAGAGCGGTTATATCGGGGAGACTGGAGTAGAGCGGTTATATCGGGGAGACTGGAGTAGAGCGGTTATATCGGGGAGACAGAACTACAGCGGTTATATCGGGGAGACTGGAGTAGAGCGGTTATATCGGGGAGACTGGAGTAGAGCGGTTATATCGGGGAGACTGGAGTAGAGCGGTTATATCGGGGAGACTGGAGTAGAGCGGTTATATCGGGGAGACTGGACTACAGCGGTTATATCGGGGAGACTGGAGTAGAGCGGTTATATCGGGGAGACAGAACTACAGCGGTTATATCGGGGAGACTGGAGTAGAGCGGTTATATCGGGGAGACTGGAGTAGAGCGGTTATATCGGGGAGACTGGAGTAGAGCGGTTATATCGGGGAGACTGGAGTAGAGCGGTTATATCGGGGAGACTGGAGTAGAGCGGTTATATCGGGGAGACTGGAGTAGAGCGGTTATATCGAGGAGACTAGAGTAGAGCGGTTATATCGGGGAGACAGAACTACAGCGTTTATATCGGGGAGACTGGAGTAGAGCGGTTATATCGGGGAGACTGGAGTAGAGCGGTTATATCGGGGAGAATGGAGTACAGCGGTTATATCGAGGAGAATTTAGTAGAGCGGTTATATCGGGGAGAATGGAGTACAGCGGTTATATCGAGGAGAATGGAGTAGAGCGGTTATATCGGGGAGACTGGAATACAGCGGTTATATCGAGGAGAATGGAGTAGAGCGGTTATATCGGGGAGACTGGAGTACAGCGGTTATATCGAGGAGAATGGAGTACAGCGGTTATATCGGGGAGACTGGAGTACAGCGGTTATATCGGGGAGACTGGACTACAACGTTATATCGGGGAGACTGGAGTACAAACAGAACAGCAGCGTTTATCCGTTATCTGTTATCAGACCTAGTAGCTCAAGTGATAACCTTTTTACACATCAGTGTTGTTGACAGATGACAGATGTTGGATTGCTGGACGGAGAGATGTTACTTGTAGGGCTGATGACGGATTGTGACGTCATGGTGTCAGTTGGCCAGGGAGACACAGGTGGCAAAGAGACTGGTTTAGTTATGGCCATGGTTTGTTTGGTCTAGTCTTGGCCATCGTGTTTGGTCTAGTCTTGGCCATCGTGTTTGGTCTAGTCTTGGCCATCGTGTTTGGTCAAGTCTTGGCCATCGTGTTTGGTCTAGTCTTGGCCATCGTTTGTCTAATCTAGTCATGGCCATCGTGTTTGGTCTAGTCTTGGCCATCGTGTTTGGTCTAGTCTTGGCCATCGTGTTTGGTCAAGTCATGGCCATCGTGTCTGGTCTAGTCTTGGCCATCGTGTTTGGTCTAGTCTTGGCCATCGTGTTTGGTCTAGTCTTGGCCATCGTGTTTGGTCTAGTCTGTGCCATCGTGTTTGGTCAAGTCTTGGCCATCGTTTGTCTAATCTAGTCATGGCCATCGTGTTTGGTCTAGTCTTGGCCATCGTGTCTGGTCTAGTCTTGGCTATCGTGTCTGGTCTAGTCTTGGCTATCGTGTGTGGTCTAGTCATGGCCATTGATTGTTGTAGACTACTGGGTCAAGTTGATATAAAGATTTTTTTTTAAAAAACACATCACAGTGGTTAAAGCCGATGATTCTGTCAGGATTCCAAGAATGTTTTTGTATCCGAAGAGAGTGGGGCACTCGCGGTATTTCAAGCTAGCTGTACATTATAGTTTAAGTTTTTTAAGGTTTCCTTTACTATTTCAGCCACATTGGGTAGATATATTTTGCTCCAATCGTGAATAGTTTTTCAATCCTTTAAGAGATGAAAACTTCTTTTGAATATTCGAGAAAGACAACCAATTTAGTTTCGACATCGATGAAAAAAAATGTTTTTGTTACTACTAGCAAGCTAGCAAGTAATGTTTCTTTCAGACTTATTTCTGCGGGGTGGGGGGACTTTAAACTTTCGTGGATGGGCGGGTGGGGGCAGAGGTGCCTAAAAGAAACACTTCTAGCAACCCAACACATCATATTACAAGATTTCAGTGTAATGGCATTATCGTGCAGTTGGATAAAAATTACTATCCATCACGATTTAGAAAATGTTGACGGAAAAATAGTTTTTATCTCTCAAGTAAGTTAGGTAACTCGGTAAATATAGCTTTATTTAAATTCCGATTTCTGGAAGTCTGTTAAGACTCACGATTGTAGAGCAGACTCGCAGTTCGAAGTCTGCGTCTGCATTTTGTCTGCAACCAAACATCAAGATGGTAGCGGTTTCTCGATTCGTTAGCACAATAAACAAACCCCGGGGTCGCTGGGGGCCTTAGTGGTGTGTGCCCCCCCCCCCCCTCACCCTACTCCCCCACCCCCACACCGTATGGCCACTCTTCTTTTGTCCTTTCAAAACGGCACCCACATCCAAGTCAGCGTGAGGGCCCGCCCCCTCTGCGAGCTTCGATCACGCCGCTGAATACCCTTCAAGTCCCCTCGCCGCGGTCCCACAACGAATAGAAGCCGTCTACTGAAGAAGCGAGTGTCGACTTGCACCCCTACGGCCAATCACAACGCGCGGAAGCGGGGAGCTCTAGCCCCACCCACTTTCAAATCCCCGCCGCGTTCGACGCGGGAGGTGACGTGAAACGCCGGGCGCCTATTGGCTCGGCACAGCCGGACGAAGGGAGGGGAGAGACAACCCACACGCCCGCTGCAACCCCCTGACAGTCGTGTTTATCGCTAAATAGTTTTCCTAGTCGGTTTTTATCAATGCAGCCCGCTGATAGAAACAGCAGTCTGCCTGCGACCCTCCTAGTGTGCGGCTTGTCGTCGGAGTCCGGTGCGAAGCGACTTGGTTGGACTGTAAACACGCGGACGTGCTAGAAGTACACACAGTCCCTCTCGCCGATAACAACAGCGGATGTACGGCAAGCAACCGGCCGTGCACCGAGATAGATATTCATCCTGTTCTAAGAGATTTATCTAGCTCACTGAGGAAATATCGAGGATAGTTTGTGTGTAAGTGTGCCGAGGTGTGTAGTTGTGTGTTTTCGTGATTTTTTTTTATATTTTGGAAAAAAAAAATGGCGTAGCGGTACGCTATTTATTTACACGTGTGTGTTGACACGGTTTAACCTTAACTCAGGTAGGTGAGTCAGACTAACGATTCGCTCAAAAAATTTATTTAAAAAAAAACATTTCAACTTTTTTTTTCTATTTTTCGTAGCAAAAATGTACTCGATTAAATATATACTTTTTAACTCAAACTAGCATAACATCCATTTTTTCAGATTTATCTAAACCATTATCAAGGAAATCTAAGTAGAAATTCAAACCATCGGTACGTCATCAATTTGGATTGAACGTTAACACTAACTCATCTTTTACAAAAGCTGAAAAAATATCATCGGATTACTTACAACACCCGGCTGATTTTCCCAGCACCTCAGCTAACAACTGACCACAGGAGTTATAGCACGCGATCAACTGACCACTACTCGCCCGTTACTGGATTTATTTACTTAACACCTGTGCCACCGTTTGTTTGACCGGCGCCACACCTCACCCTGCCCATGTTGTAAGCTAGGGGCAGCTGGACTGACCAGTCGCTCGTCACTGGCCTGTGGCTAGCAGGCGGCTACTTACATCATCTATGGGGAGATTCTATTGAAGGTAGGGACTACATTTTTGTTAACTTGCAGATTAGGGACAACATCTTTGTTAAACTTTCAGATTAGGGACACCATCTTTGTTAACTTTCAGATTAGGGATAACATTTTTGTTAACTTTCAGATTAGGGACAACATCTTTGTTAACTTTCAGATTAGGGACAACATCTTTGTTAACTTTCAGATTTGGGAAACATCTTTGTTGACTTTCAGATTTGGGACATCTTTGTTAACTTTCAGATTAGAGAAAACATCTTTGTTTACTTTAGTAACAACATTTTTGTTTACTTTAATATTTTATTACACAATAAACTAAACAAAGGCCAAAATGTACTATTAAACTAATCTAAATCTATATTTATTGCAAAAACAAGTTAAATATTACTTTAGAATTATAGTGAATCATAAATGTATCAAATACACTTTAGATTTATAATAAATTTTAGTAATTTTATATTGCATACAGTTCTCTTGATATTTTTACAAAACACTAAACAATATGCAACAATTTGCTTTATATAGGTATTATATAATATACAATATATAGAATATATTTCATAATTTGTTAAACATTGACTAGATTTTAAAGTTTACTTTTATTAATGTCAAAAACCAATCGTCTATTATCTAGATTATCTTTGTAAGATTATTTGAAATACCAATTAAAGCAAAGCTTAATGAAACATAAGATAAAATGTAAAATAAACACACAGAAGATTATTAAATATAGTTTAGGTATAAATACTACTTTAAAACAAGTTTTAATTTATATTTTTGATTTATATTTTTTTATATTTTTTAATAGATCCTCACAAAATCTGTATAAACAGAATTTTAATTGATTTTGTCTAACATTTAATTTTCTATTGAGCATTTTTTATTTTATTTATAAAATTTCATGCTTGAAATAAAATACTCAACTTAAATACATATAGGCCTAATGAATGTGGCATATATCTAAGGTGGAAAGTGTCTACTAATTTGGAAAGTGTCAATTAGTTATTGCACAAAAGATGGTTCTTAATATCATCACATACAACAATTGTATGCATCTATACACACAGATATATATCGCCTAGTTAAGTAAATGTATCAAGCAGATGAAAAACTATGAAACACCGAAGTGCTAAAACAATAAAAATCATATTATTCACGCTAAATTAGTTTTATTCTGGCTGAGTCATAAGACCCGTGTTTTCTGATCTCGCTCATATAATATATAAAACTGTCATAAAGTAAAGTGTTTTAGTTGATGATGCATGTATAGAAGAAGAAAATGTGTATGCTTAAAATAATATTTAAATAGGCAACATCTTAAGATTAATGTACAGATAAGTATACATTCAAAATATAGACAGGAATTTTCTCTTTCAAATCTTGTTTGGTAAAGCTTATTAAATACGTCCATACATACTATCTATATAGCCTATAATAAGCATAAACTATAATTTATTCAATAGTTTACGCAAAGATTTAAACGATAATCTTAAATATATTTTCAAAAGTATTTTGTACATGTTAAAAATGAAGATTAAGTACTTTTCCTGAATTAGGCTAAAACTTAGAATTAAATTCACATGAAAAAAAAATTCCTATTATGCTACTGCTATGTCAGTAACTGATTTTATACTACTTATGTCAATTTATACAAATCTATATTTTATTTGTTCTACTGTCGTATGACTGTGTTTTTTTTTTATTATGCGCGCTAGCACTGGTCATAAACTTACATTACTTTTTCCGTAATATTTTTTTTTTAATTTAAATCTTACTTTTTAAAATATATTTTACTTATTTGTTGATATATTACTATTAGTTTCGTTTTTATCATAATATAATTAGACCCTATCAACAAGTTTTATAATTGTATTATGAATGTTAGTTATCCCGTAGTCTTTTGTAAAGGTGTCCACGTAGGCTACGCGAGCGTGGTGTCTCAACATTTTCTTAAAGCTGCGCTATCACAGTTTTTTAACGTGTCTTAAATCAAGCGTTAAAGCGTCCTACCCTAATCCCACTAGCCCGTGTACTACACGGGAATGTGACGACCTTGACCGCCCCCACCCCTCCCACATTAATCTCCTCCCATCTGCAGATGACACTCTCGACACTCCCTCCTTCACCCCCACCCCCGCTACGGGTCACTCTGAGTATCTGCTCTTGTTCATCCTCTATATGAAATTCACATGTTCATTTTCTGACTATCTGAAAACAGAAATAAAATGTAGCTTTTCTGTTCATCTGTTAGACATATTAGAATAGCACCGAATTATTCATTTGTTGTGTTGGTATCATTGTTAGGGTCAGGATTAGGATTAGTGTCAGTGTTAGGATCAGTGTATGATTCCTCTTTAATCCATATTAACCCAACAACATCACTGAGCACTAGATATAACGCGAACATCAGGAGCGCTATTAAAAAACAAGTATTCAAATTCTTTTCCATGCAAAAAGAACTTTCAGACATGAAGATTTTAGAACTTTACCTGGAAAAACAAGATACTGTTGTCTCTGTTCCATGTTTATATACATTTTTCTAGTCATGGCCATACATATACAAATTCGGCATACACATACAAATAGGCAAGTACGAACACACATTTACACATGTGTAAATACACATTGAAATACACGCGCGCACACCACACAAACATGAAAATAATAACACACACATACACACCAAGCATGTACATAACATGCTAATAACACAGAATACATACAGTAATACACACATATAAAAATATACACACCAAGCGTGTACACACATTCAAATATACACACCAAGCGTGTACACACATACAAATACACACACCAAGCATGTACAAGCGATGCCAATAACACAGACTATATACAGTAATACACACACATTCAAATTTAGGCTACACACCAAGTGTGTAAGCACATACGAATACACACAGCACGCATGTACATATTTTAATAACATACGCACCCTAAACACACACACACACAGTACAAGCGCACACACACTAGCACACACACACACACACACACACCGTACAAGCACACACACACGCACACACACAGACACACCCAAACGACACGGTACTTAAATAGCCCTGCCCATCATCATACACCCTCTGACAGCTATAACGACCTGGCACAGGTCGGATGGTACTTCACATCTTGAATAGCCTCAACTCGCCGGCTGTTTAGTCCAGGTGTGCCGACGGCCCCAACATTAAGACATCTAAATTTAGCCGGCTAAATTATGACCACGGCGGAAATTATTACACCCAATTAACCAACAACAACAATAATCCACGCTTCGAAGATGTAGAAATACATTTCAAAATAAAATAAATTATCACGAACTATTATTGCTTTATTCGCAATTTCGCACTATTATTTCTTTTTTCGCACTTTCGCAAACTACCCACCAACACCCCTTTCTTATCCATCAACTTACACACAAACACACCACACACTCACACACATACGTAAACACAGAAATCTGTTTTATTTCCTCTTCAAATAAATTTAAGTTTCGTTGAATGATAGTTAACGGGCACGCTTGCCCGCGGTACCTCGCTGTAAGGCCCCCAGGGACTTTTTATCTTGTTTAGGACCAAGAAGACATTACGGGACCTTTAAAATTCGGGTGCCCTGTTCCCTCACAATTCCGTTAACCCGTTCCTGCATTCTGTTTTAACATCCAATTCTGCTACTGTCCTGTGCAATAAACTTGTATAAGCTTTATAACTTTGAAGATGCCGAATGTTTTACTGATAGACTTCTTGGGGGTACGCGAAACTAGTTGTATGTGTTAGACACGGGGTAGATATTAAAAGAAATTAGTACAATTAAAAGTCACGTGACGACCGTAACAGGACAAACAGATGATTGGTTGTCAGACACACGGAGGCGAGTGGTGGCAAGACACAATAGGAAGACCCGCTTGAGTGGGATTCGAACCCGCGTTACCGTCGCTATTGTTTGGTTCACGGGTGGTCGTCGAACACATGTGTGAAGTATCTGCGTGTGTGTCTGTGTGTGTGTGTGTGTCCTGTGTGTGTGCCCGTGTGTGTAGGTATGCGTAAGTGTGTTTGCGTGTGTTTGTATGTCGGTGTGCGTGTGTGTTGATATGTGTTAGTGTGTTTGTGTGTGTCAGTGTGCGTGTGTGTCGGTATATGAGTGTGTCTGTAGGTGTGTGTGTGTGTGTCGGTGTAGGAGTGTGTCTGTCGGTGTGCTTGTGTGTGTGTGTGTGTCATTAGCAGAGTGGTGAGGCTGTGGTTGATCTTATATAAATAAACAGAATGTGCGTAATTTTGTAACTGTATGTACCGGCTTACATATTTGGCGAGGCAAAAGGCTGTAAACAACGACACGCACGGAAAAACTAATCAGCTACTTTTTTAAAAAATTACTTTAACACCCTTATAGTTTACTGTCTATCATGCTGGGGGTCTCGGTTCTAATCCGAACACGCCCGAAATATGAGAAAACTTTTAGAAGTTATAAAGCTTTTTTTTTTCCAAACATTTTTTTTTTAAATTTTAAATATGTAGCTCATATTATTCCACTGCTATTAAATGGATAGGTTACATTCATTCACATTGTACTCATGGAGATTTTTATATTTTCAGCTTAAATTCTTCATTACGGTGTGTCAAATTTTACAGGAAAATGTCAAAACGATAATTGATTTCAAACTATACATTACACTTAAAATATTAACAGTAAAAAAATAATAATTAAAATGATTTTTAAATAGAATAAAAAATAATTTAATGTTTTTAAAGTAATCTACTATAAATAATTCTTTTAAAAAATACATTAATCCACAATAAATATTTTAATATATTTTTACCTGTATTTGAAGCCAGTTTGGACAGCTGTAATAATTTGTCTGTAAGTTCTGAATTTGATAACCAAACTTGATGCAATCAGTTTTTTAATGTGATCTATACTGTGATATCCTATAGTCTTATTTACTCAAACAGATGTATATCTTTGCCATCTATTCTACGTCATTACTTTATCTCA